TTTATTTTTTCACATATATGCAATTTGATAAAACATTATTTACACATCCCTCCTAGATATGGCTTATAAGTTGACATCTGATTTAAACACAGCAAAATCAACAGTAGGCCTTGATATTAAAAAACATAAAAACATTCCTTTTTTTACACACCATCTAACCTTGACTTATTTCTTCTAGAAGGATCATAAAAGCCAACACAAACCAACAACTGCCAGTACTTTGAAACTGTGAAATATTATACACATGCATTAGTAATTCCCACCTATCAGTGACTTATCCAAGGCCTTCTCTACACAGAAACATGCACCAATTTACTTTAACCAGTGCAATCCCTCATGTGGACATTCTTATTTCAGGTTAGCTGAGACCTGTTTCTAATCAACTTCAGCTAAGGCCAAATAAGTCTGGTTTAAACTAAACCAAGAGTACCCACATAGCCTCTGACATCAGTTTAGCTATATCAGGTTGAAATCATATCTTAAAGTGGTGATGACTGTGTATAGACAAGCCCAGAGTCTGAAGAGCAACCCTGTGCCAAAGTGATGGGCAATTTTAAACATTGTCTAACCTTACAACTAACTCATTCAGATGATTACTCTAGGGTTACGACTATGAACGTGTCAACCAGTTTTACTGACTAGACGTTTAGAACAATTTGTCTGCAGCCACAAATTCAAACCCTACAAACTGGGAGTTTAGTAAATATTATTTTACACTTCAGATGCGTCTCTCACCCACTAAATGCTGTGGGATGTTCTACTGACCATACTGAAATCGTATGCTATGTTTTTCAGCGCAGTGATTTTCCAGCATTAAGACGGTAGGGATGCAAAACATTAACTGCGGTTTTATACGCGAGTTCCATTTTCCTTTAACAAGAGGGGCTTTTGAGGGATGCAGCACTGCATCCCCACGTCACCCCCGTGGCATTGAAATCACTCCATCACCCTACCCTCCTCCTGCCACGTCCATGTACAAAGGGAAACAAAGAAAGGATCCCTTCCTGAAATCCCACATAGATAGATGTGAACCTTCTACATCCCTCAGTTTAAATCAGGCAACTCCCATAGATCATTATGGTGGTGTCACATTTGCAACTGTCCCGAAAGCAGATGCAGCCAAAACTAGGAGGGAGCTTTGTCCAAGTGCCCAGCCCCCCCAGCCGTTCCCCCAAGCGGCCCATCCACATCTGGAGTAAACCAGGAAGGACAGAGACTTCTCTTCTCCCCCACCAGCTCTCCCAACAGCCAGCTGCCCCCCCCGGGCATGCCAGGGTCCAGGGCCGGCTCCCAGCTCCCATGCAGGGGGTTGCCCGGACTGCACCCCTGGGAGGGGGACAGGACAGGGACAGGACAGGGCACCTGCTCGCAGGATGCTGCAGCCCCACCTGGACGGGGCTCTGCGGGTCCCCCAGCCGCGGCGACCGGGCCAGGCTCCGCACAACGGGGACCCCAGAGAGCGGCTGCTGCCGGGCCAAGGGGCAGGAGGAGCCGCGGGGGTCCCCTCAGGGCAGCACGAGCCCCACAGAGACCCGGCTCCCGACAGAGCTCGGGCCGCTGCCCCCGCTGGGAGCCGGCTGCTCGCTCGCCCCGGGGCTGCTCCCCGACAGGCGGCGTCAGCCCCGGCTCCCCTCGCCCCCAACCCCCTTCCCCTGGCAGCCGCCCCCCCTTATTCCTCGGGGTCCCTGGGCCTCTGCGCCCCCCCCCCCCCGCCCAGTGCTCGGTCTCCCCTCACGGCCCCAGCCCGGT